TTCAGATTCCTGCCTATCCTGATCGTGGTGTGCCTTGGGCTACCCGACCCTCAGACCCTGTCTGTTACAGAGAGGCAGGTCTCGGGTTTCTTAAGATAAATCTTAAAGATTGTAAGGGTAGGTTTTATTTGTAAAAATATAAGGATAGGAAATAACTTAGAAGAATGTGTGAAGAGCTCATACTTGGGATCCTACTGATCCCTTATATAGTTGCTCTTTGCTTGGCGCGACTCATACCTTGTGTTATGCGACTCTTATGACTCACAACTATGAGTCATATAAAATCCATCAGCTGACTCCTATGAGTTGCTGTGCAACATACCTTAAACCAATCATAACTCAATAACCAAGTCAGGCACGTAATTCGTATCACCTGAGAGAAACCCATGACTTATAACTTGAGTCATGTGTAAAAATCATAACATCATATAACTCACAACTGTGAGTCACAGACAGGTGAACATAATAACCTATGACACACAAGGGTGCATTATGTGAAATATCAACATATCTATAGCTCAGAATTCCGAGATATGCCAGTGTAAAATCTGCCTTGCTTAGTCACAGTTTGTGACAAGTATAACTATAAGATACTATCTCTTACTAGAGATTTATAAAAGAGTAATACAAGAAGGGGAAGTATTATATATAAGGTACTCTAATACTTATAACTAAAAAGTATAGATCTACTATTTTCTTTCTTTCTGCATTGGTACTTGGCTACAGAATTGTAGTAGTACAATTCATATAGTTATATTATAATAATATTATTATAATGATATGAAAATGAAGTATTAGGCTTTTAGAATTCTGCAGATTTAAATTAGTCTTAAGTAAGTAAAGTCTCTTGTAAGTCTTTATAACTATTTTTATAAAAGTACTTACATATCTTCCTAGTACTAAGTAATTTTACTTGTTCTTAAAAATAATTACCACCTAATAGGAAACCCTATTTCAGAGTTCTTATTCTCTAGTAGTAATTAATTATAAAACTTATATATAGTAATATAGGAATCTAGTTGAGAATTAACTAAAATAGCAATAGTATCTTAGTAAAAAGAAAAGTATTAGAAAGTAAAAGTAATAAAAAAGAGGGAAAATGAGATAGATCATATTTATTCATTATAGCTTAGTTAAGTTTGTTTAAATTATATTATTGATAACCATGTGTAAAATCTTGCAGAGAAGTACAACCTTTCACTGCTAATGTACTACAAGTATACTCTTGCCAAAGTCTGTTGTCCCCAAGTAATTGGGTTTCAGATTGATACTAGTCAAACTTTAGAATAATAGATAGAAAGACTTGTATATTAGTATATATGATTGAAATAAATATAGAATTAGAGAAGTTGATAGAACCAGAAAAGTGGCCTAGGAAAATTATTATAAGCTGTCTCAAGGCTAATTAGTCAGGTACAAATTTCAGGTCAGAACAGGTAGACATACAGGATAGAATATCATATAAGTTATAAATATTCTGATAATTTAATTGTCTGTTACAACTTATTCAAGATAGGTATTATACTGTCATGTAAAAATGTATTTATAAATATGTATAGGCATTACTACCTGTAAATATCTAGTAGGAGCAATAAACTAAACTCTTTTAGTAGTTAGTAAAAGTATACAAAAGATTTATTAGAGTATTATACCTGCAGTTTTACAAAACAGGAGGTACTCAGGCTAACAATAATTGAAATGATTAAAAAGATTTGAAACGAAATAAAAGAATCAAGGTTTTATAAAATAAGAATCATATAACTTTATAATTTAACTGTATTTCTTATTGTAGTCAAAATCAGTGTACTATTTATATCAAATAAGAAAAATCAACAGAAAATAAAACAGCAAGAAAATTGAAAGTCTAAAAAAAATAGTAAAAGGATCTTACTAATAATAACTTTCTTGTTAGAATATACTGTCTAAAAGTAATTGTTACTAAGTTTTAGACTAGTCTGATTCCAAAATAACAGATGGATAGACTTGTACATTAATATGTATAACTGGAGTAAATGTCAAATCGGGAGTATTTGATGAACCTGAAAAGTGTTTTAAGAAAAGAAACTGTAGGTTGTTTCAAAGTTAGCCAGTCTGATATAAATTTCAAATCAGGACAAGCATACATACTAGACAGGATATCATATAAGTTATACTAGTAAATGCTTTGATAATTTAATAGTTTGTTTGCAGCCCATTCAGGGCAGATATTATATAACCATCTAGTAGCACATTCATAAATGTGTTGGCATAGTAACCTTTAAATACCCAGTAGAGGCAATGAAATAAATTCTTTTAGTAGTTAGCAGAAGTATTATAAAAGATTTATCAAGGAGCATCATATGATACCTGCAATTGTGAAAACAGATGGTGAAAATGTAGTTTATTGAAAAATAGTTTGAAGAATATAAAATGAAATAGAGGAATTAATATTTTGTGAAATAAGAAACTTATAACTGTATAATCTGATTGCATTCCTCATTGCAGTCAGCATCAGTTATACTGTTTATGTATCAGAAAGGAAAGTTATAGAGAAAAAGGAAAGTTGCATGTTGAATATTCAGAAAAGGAGGGGGGGGGATCTCGGTCCTAAATAATAAAATAACTCTTGCTGAAAACCCTACTGTAAACCTAAACCTCACTTTTCTCTCAACAGCTCTAAAGGGTAAAAAATTCTCTTATCATAACCACTACAATAACTATGATACTAGTCTTGTATTCTCTCTGGTCCATCAGAGAGCCTCCCAGCGCTCTACAGGAACCACTTCAGGATACGTCACCCGTATCCTAACTACTTGTTGGTATGATATATCGCAACAGAGGAGGCTAAGAGGACGGAGAGCTAAAAACATGCCTCACGCGAGTTTTTGAGGCGCCTGAGCTCAGGCACTATAAAATGGAACAGAAATATCAAGCTTCCATCAGGACGGCGAGTCTATGATAGCAGAACTCCTAACTCGAGATCCATCATTCTCCTCGGAAATGAGGATATCGGTAGCGTAGCTCCAAAGTTATGGTATTGCTGCTCCCTAGCTAGTAACGGTATTCATAAAAAAATATAAAAAAAACTCACCAAGTCTTAGTGTAGTCATCCAACTCTCCATTTTTACCCTCCAAACCTATGATACAATATACCACCACTGCCACCCGATCAGAAACAACCTCCAGATCCCCGCCGGAAAACAGAAAGAAATCTTCATTGAAACTAGGGTCAACACATCCAAATAAAGTGTCAATATAAACTGCATCCAATGCTGACTAGCGTGAGACGTCTAAAATCGTCAGATGCCTCTATGGATTAAAAAAAAAACAAGGGCACGCAGAACCCCCGCACGAAAAAAAAACCACGCAGCAGTATAAATTCTCACAAGGGAGCTAAATAAAAATAAGGGAAAAGAAAGTATATTATAGATAAACCGGGACATCAACCAAAAATCATCGCTGGGTGACAGCATATGAGTCTAGGTTCGGTGCAACGCCGTTTGTCGATACCGCCTACTGTACCCAAAGCAATGTATTATAGCTTGGCGAAAGTCCACAGATACCCGCAGATAACGCTGCGGTCCTGCATTAAGCGCAACAAACAAATGAACATAAAATCCACCGAAAACTAGATTTATTTATGCTCGAACCCAACTATTGCCAAACAGAAGAAATTAAATGTGACAAAAAAAACAAAAGAAACGAAGCTAGCAGAGGGCGATGACAGCGCCTCTCAGCAAACACGTGGCTTAGCCTCACAACTTCCTAGTCTCCCTCACATTTGAATCTCGTTTCCATCAGACATCGAGTATCAAGCTTTACCAGCCAGAGAGATCAGCCTCGCCATTGGTTCCGGCCCCTTCGTTATTCCAATCCCCACCACCACTAGTTCCCCCGGCCCCACCGTGCACACCATCTCCCTGATCCTCGCCTTCGGCATCCGAGTCCGGCTCCTCAAAGGTTACCTCCCCAATCGGACGATAGGGCTCAAGGAATTCTGGTATCTCCTGAGAAGACTCCAAAAGAACCTTTACCAGGTCTGCAGCTATGTCTTCATTGCTACTATTATAGAAAGAGGTGGCAAGCCCACGATTGCCGATGCGAGCCGTGCGTCCTATTTTCGGTTAGCCTTGATTTTGCTCCACTCAAGTGCTGAAACACAGAACCCACCTATACGATGGATGTACTCATCGATATTCTGGACCAGGTCATAGTTGATAACATGCATCACGTTTTTGATGTCCAACCCACGAGCCGCAATAGCAGTGGCAATCATAATAGGGCATCTTCCAGATCGAAATGCGAGGCTGCAAAATTACCATATCAGCAACCATCTGATGTCGAAGAAGCACCCGCTAGAACATACATTGCATCCTCACGCTCTCGCTGGGTGCGGTCACCATGGATTGAGGTGGTCGGGAGTTTGACTGAAAACCAAAATTAGCCCCTTCGACTCTCTTCCGCTAAACCCGAGACACAAGAGACATACGGTTGTACAAGTAGTCATCCAAACTATCAGCAACACGCTTATGATTGACAAAGATAAGAGTACGTGCAGGGGGCGCAGTGCACAAGAGGTCATATATTGCCTCCTTTTTCCTCTGTTCGTCCACCCATAGAACCTACGCAGCGCAGCCCACCGATTAGAATGTAAGGAAACAAGTATCGGGCTATAAATTACCCTCTGAGTGATATTTTCATGAGTGCTACCGATACGGCCCACCTTAATCTGAACGAAATCATCAGACAAGAAATCTCTGGCCAATTTACGGATAGCCTATCGATGTTCGTTCCATATTAGTATCAAAAGTAACAAAAGTGCAAAACCTAAGCTTTATCACCTTTTGGAAAGTGGCCGAGAACATCAAGACTTGTTGGTCATCGTCTTCATTTGCATCTAATGTCCTGTTAGCAGACATCCAGCCACCTGATAAAGAACAAGCTACCAGAAGACTGAAGAAGTTTGCGAATCTGGGGCTCGAATCCCATATCCAACATTTCATCAGCCTCATCAATCACAACAAACCTACGAATAGAATTAGCTATCAACTACAACCTTAAGCCACTTGGGATCAAGGGAAAGAAAACGTACTTTAAGCGTTTCAGTGATAGGATCCTTCCCCTTTCTATGAAATCAGACAAGCGCCCCGGCGTGCCAACAAGGACATCACATCCTTTCTTCAGTTCCATACGTTGGGTAGCACTATCAGCACCACCGTAAACGACGCAGGGCCTCAATTTGCTCATATAGCAAAACCGACGGGATTCGTCGAATATCTGCGTAGCAAGCTCACGAGTCGGGGCAGCAACAAGAACTAAAGGCTGGGCGATGTAGGGCTCCGTGGAGCCCGGCACGGGGCGAGGGGCGGCAAGTGAACTAGCCTTCCCCATAAGCTTGGATAAGATAGGAATCATAAAAGCCGCCGTCTTTCCCGAGCCTATACAAAATCAGGCCCCCGTAAGTATGGCAACCAGGTAAGGCTGGGCAAATTCCAGCCCAAGCGGTGGGAACCCACCAGTTTGGGCGCACGACAAGAGGTCGTGTCCCTCCAAAACTGCCGGAATGCAGTATCTTTGGATAGGCGTAGGAATCTCGTACCTTCAATGTGTCAGCATCGAAACCAAAGAACAAAAATACAGAAGAAATACCCAGCTAGTTTAATGTTCCTCAGCATCACCGGATGAAGAGGCGCTTCCTCGAACTTGAAAGAGAGTTAGTTAGTGCAAAACAGTCACAAGAATTATCCATCACTCTCTCCCCTTTACCCCTCATAAATCAAAGGGCAAACATACTCTCTCAATCGGATTCATCTTCTCCCGCCCTTCGACGTAGACGGAGATAGTAAGAAGCCTAATTTTAATTTCCCTTCAGCACCCAGAATATAAACAGAGGATTTGAGGGAACAATACTTGTCAAATTGAAGTCCAGCACCCGAACGGTCAACAACACCAGGTTCACCAAAGAGCATACGTTCAAGGACCTCATCGCGAGGGGCAACATCACCATACTCTTCCTTCCACTCATAACGAGCACCCGAAGCACCCCATTCACCGACAGGAAGCCCCCTGGGAGCCTCAGGATCTCGGACAGGAGTAGCATAGGTATCGTAATTAGTTGTCTCACGTTCTGTCCACTTGCCTACACGAGGCCCAACAACAGGAACAGGGGGGGCGCTCTCGGGAGCTCCTTCTCCCACGTACTTATCACCCAGGGAAGTGCTCTGAACCGCAGCCACCATAGCATTGATGTCGCTAGACAAACTTGCCACGGTGTTTGGATCCTCTTGAGTAGCCATGATGAGGATTGGTATTATTTTTTGGTTATGAGAAAAAATTGAGGGCGATGAAAGGATCAAGGTTGAAGAGGAAGTGATGGTTGAGAAGCGTGATGGCGAAGGTAGAAAAGTGGGGGTGTGAGGAGGGAGGAGGGGAGTGGAAGGTGGGAGAAAGGGTGGATGGGGAAAAACCCTTATGGAGGGAGAAGAAAGGATGACGACGAACCGGGGAAACGACAAAGGGCAAAGGAAGGCGCAACGCGAGACGGGCCGCTCCTCTTTATCACAATGTATTTCACGGCGCGTTACTCAATAGCCATGTCCCAGTGAACCGTGCAGGTGTTGATCAACATATCATAACCAAAGCTAACGGGGGCAAGAGATAGTTCCGCAAGCTCCTACGAGTGATACATTATGAGGAACCGTCGGGGGGGTTTTTTTTTTTAAAAAAAAGTGATCTTCAGACACCCCCCCCGCACACCAGATTAGAAAAAAGCGTGACAGGCCGTTTAGTAACGCCATTTCCACAAAAATAAAAAAATCGCAGAGTTCCTGGAAAAGCCCAAATACACAATATCATACCAAAAAGTACTGTAAGACGAGCCACATTATCGCTGCCTCCAGACATTGAACTTACGGGTTACCACGTGCGAGGCACTTGGTCATGCCAGAGGTGTCCGGAAATCTTGGCGTTTCCTAGGCCTAAGGCGTACCGAGATTTCCTGATCCTTTTTTTTGCCTGCGGATTGAGCTGTCAAACTATGATAGGATAGCAGCTTGAAAAAAAAAACACAGAGTTTCCGCAAAATATGCCAAAAAAAAGTCACTATTTTGACCTACCGGTATTACTCTGGGCGTGAAGAAGGAAGAAATGTCGAGAAAAAAGAGGACACCAGCGAAAAACCTGCGGATTTCCTGTAATAATAATTCCATGAAAGCTCCACACATTGACCCCTCTCCATCCTGACCTTCTACCATCTTCATCGGAAGTTAGGTGGACGGCCGTTTATGCTCTTAGGCGAGGATGCGAACCAATATCTGCACGAGCACAATAGTTCTCATGACCGGAGGCCAAAGTGTCCACTTATTCATGGGCCACTGCCGAGACCCCGGCTTCCCACTGTTAAAGTTCTCCCGAGTGAGCCCGAAGACACAACTGATCCCTTCTTGGAAGTACCAGTCGACCCGGCCGTACGAGACGAGCCTGGGCAATGGAGTACGAGGGCTACCCAGGCGACGCCGAGGAACGACTGCCTTGACAAAGCCGGGTCTGGTCATATTGCGGGCGACGACCAGCTCTACAAGACGACCGTTTCGGTGCTCCACTTGTAGAAGAGTACTCAGACGGGTTGTTGAGGGGAGAGTTGTTTCTCGGGATGATACAGTGCGAACCAAACCCAAAGTCGGACGGAGCGCACCCCCAAACTCCGTACTCTACAAATACCGAACCGCTAAGAGCTAGGGGCGATAAAGCTCAAGGCGCCGGTGGTTGTGCCCATCGCAATGCCCATCGCAAGAAGTGAAAGTTGAGAGCACCTATCGAACGCACATCTAAACATTTTGCGTGGCCACCAAATAAGTTCCCAGGTATCCGCGGCAGGGGATACCGGGCGGAAGAGGCACTTATTATAGTTGACGGGCGCGGTGGACTACCG